CGGGGAAAAAAACATGTTTTAAGAAATATATTTTTATAAATTATTTAAAATAAATCGAAAATCAATTTTATAAAAATAAAACTTCTTAATTTTAAAAATTACAATATTTACTTAAGATATAAATTAATATTAGCACATGTACACATTTACATTATTTTTACATCTCGTTTTCTGAAAATATATTTTTACAAAAATTTCTTACAATCTTTGACTAGGGGCGGAAAACTCGATTATTTAAGAAAGATTAGGACGTGAAAATTTATTCCGGTGCATAACCGTACGGAACCGAATAACGGTTATTAATAAATCTACGTTTCAGCAATACCGGTGAGCATATCTTTGTTTCATCTCGCGTAACAACGTCGTGAAACGCTATGCGTCGAATTGCACTGAAATGTAGATTTATCGATGGACCGGCTTCGTCTCGTCTTGTTCTTTCCTTTTCTATTAACATATTCTTAATACTACTAAAATTTATTAACCTGCTATTCGATGAATTTAAAGTAATATCCTTAATTTTACATGTTTCGTGTGTGCACCCTGACGGAGTACGAACAATGTACGCGTAGAATTTCGGACCACCGGAAACGAACGATTCGATGTAGCTACCGCGGCGTAGCTCTCGAGCTCGTCTGTCATATCGCCCAGGAAATTCCCCGTACGCAGTTTATACTCATTCTGATCGCCGGTATTAACATATATACACGAATCCGTGTCGTAATATAAAACCCGTTTATTCAATAATTCTAAATAACTGTACAATTTTAATCGTGCTTGCGCCGTTGTGTATGCCGCGATCATAACGTTCGGAGAATGCACGACCGCCTCTTTTCGGAGTCGCCACGAAACATATATTACCTCGTCATTTATGGGTAATATATCGGTTATCTCATGCTCAGGACTCGTAAGCAAAGTCATAAATTGATGGTGAGATTTTATAATTTCGGTATTCGGCAAATTGGATCATTGACCGAATTTTCCCCAAAATGAATTTAAACAAAGCTTAGCGACCGAACGTAAACCAGGATTGCGTGCGATGTTTCGCCTGTCGAGTGTGATACTCTCGGTTTTCTCATGTTCCCGAAGGTAACGCTCCTTAGCATCATCGTCAGCGTCTTCCTTGCATTCGCTCGGCCAGCCGCTCGCTTCTTATTTTAATTGCAAAAAGGTATTAATATATTCGGCAAACAGTCTGCCTTGACGAGTATCGCTATCGTATCGCGCGACTTTATATTCCCAAATTTTGCTCACATGCGTCACGAGATAACCCTTCTCGACGGCTTTGCATAATTCACAAGATATTCAGGTACCCTCGAATTCTCGATCCACCGGGCTCTCGTGAGTACATTGAACTTGTGAGAACGTTTCGCAGCAACTCTGACATAACGCAAACGATAATTTACCTTGTACCGGATGAAAGAGATCACGTGGTGGGAATACTTTACATCGCACGAGACCTTCAACCGAGTTGAAATTATAATTTGGTGATACCCCGATTAACGAAAAACACTCTTGCCCTACGTAAATTTTAGGATGCCCAATCGGGAAAACGCCGGTTTTCAATACGAAAGGATATAGAGAACATACGTCGACGTAACGTATTTTTTCCGTACCTGAAACTTCGTATTGCGTGACGATATTTCCCGTGCGTCCACCATAAAACGCTTCGCGAGGATCGAGAGGAGTGTTCTTTATCAACGGATGATCCTTAAGAAAATTCTGCATTTCTCTATTATTCGAAATTTCTCAGTCGAAGGAGCACTCTCATTTCTCCATCATGTGGTAACCGCGTAAGGCGCCATGACATCGCGAGCGTCTGTTCGTAGCGCGCTTCGATCGTATCCCCGCGATTCGCAGAAAGCGTACTATCACGATTTACTTTAAAACACGAAGGGCATCCATGCCAGAAACAACCGTGAAATTGTAGTACCCAGCGTCGTGATTCATTTTCCGTAACCGTTTCATAATATCCATCAACGGGCGTGCCATCGATTTTATATTCGCGGTCTCGCTCCGCGTGGATAATGGGATGTCCGAGTTCGCGTTCCATCCACATCAACCACTGCAGAGCTTTGTGCGATTGCCTGTCAACGTTTCTGTAACCGCCCGACGGAAACTCCGACTCCTATTTCCTCCTCATGCAAAAAGTTTTTACGAAAAACTCTCATGCATGTGGAAGCGATAGTCGTACATTCCTCAAACGGACACACGTTTCCACGTTCTAAAAATATTTTTCTACAACTCATGCACGCTCGTCGAAGGATATCTACGTCGTTTCGACAATATCTGATAATTTCGCGTTAAAAGTCAAAAATATAATTTTCACGAACCATTTCCGTATGCCATGCGTGGAACTTTTCGCGTTCTTCCGGCGACATGTGATCGGGAGAATAATATCTAGCATCGGGAATTGATCCTATATACGATTGGTTATCGATAGTATTAAATAAGTGCGGGAAACAGTCTTTATTCGACATATCGCTCAGACCAAAGGCCTTAGGTAAATCGGATAAACACGTCGGCATATAATTAATGCTATCGATAAACTTCGTATGTCCGACCGTCATTACGACGATTTTTGTTCCGTTCAAAATAACGCGCGGTTCATGGGTGCTCTTTGGATTTTCTACAAAATATTTTAAGATAAATTGCGCGTCGAACGCTTTCGCATTATGCGCGATACAAATAATTTGTTTGAAACATTTTGTTGTTCGCGTTGCGAAATCGACAAATTGTTTCACGGGATCGAGACGGAATACGAACTCGCGCATTCCGCACCATTAGCATCGCACCGTCATGTCGTCTTCGTTTGCACATGCTACGCAAATTTGTTGCGCTACGCAAAGAGTCGGTACATGAATTCTCACGTTTTCGGTACCTACGAGCGTCTCGTCTTGCCGCGTTTCAAAATCGTAAAATATAAACGCGACACGACCGCTTGTTTGTTCGTTCATCGCAACGTTATCATTTTCATTTTCACACGCCTTTTTTTCTGCTCGCATTATCAGGGTACTTGTACCCTCGCCAGGATCGCTAGCTTTACGAGCAAGAGGACGCATGAAACATAGATGATTCGACGGTTGTAACGAACGACATGTTTTACAAAAGACCGTGTCGCATTTATGTACCGTGTTTGCACGTATAAATCGCCCGCAATCGCTACAAATTTTAACGGAATTACATATGCTCGCGCGAGATTTCCCGTTATATGATTTTTCCGCTCGATGACGCTCGAAACAAGAATTACCGAAAAATGTTACGGTTACACGCTTTGCACCTAATTATTTCTCTATCATGATTTACGCACGGGAGTGAGGCGCGACAACGAGGGCATTTTTTGCGCAACGATGTCCTCTATCGTTTCGAAAACCCTTGTTGCACGTTTCGCAATAACCGTCACGCGAACCGACTGCAGCTCTTAAATTTAATATAGGGTTATAATGACGCGAATCCTCGTAATACATTATATTTAATGTATACGAAGGTTCACGTCCGAGGGAGGCGAGTAATGCGCGACCGTCGTACTTCGGTTTTTCACCTCGGCCAAAACTATTATACTAAAATTATAAATTATTATAGCGATATTTTCCACGGCGAGAAACCGTTGAAAACGCTCGATTTCTTTATATCCGCAACCTTCCTCGGGGATCACGATACCCACGCTCCTCGTTAACTCAATCGCCAACTCACTCTGTAACGAAGAAGTCGCGTATCTTACGAATTCCCACCGCTCGTGCAATTCTCCCGTGCGCAGAGTACCACGTTCGCAGTAAATCCTCACCGCTACGAGGGAGCGAGGAAGGCATAGATTGTCGGAACTTTTTATTTGTAAAATCGAGCGTTTCGCGATGCTTTCTCGCGTTAATTTATTTGATCCCCCTCGCTCCAAAAGTACCGCTATGTTAAAAACGCGTATGGTGAAATCCATTGCGATATCGAAACCCCCGGCGCTTTGCGCTACCGAACTCACGAGTTTCCACATGTCCTTGTGAGTCAAGTCTCGCGCTGGAAGAAACGAAAGACCTGCCGGGCCATACGATAAATTTGTCGAATCGAAGAATAATCCTACGTAATCGTTCGGTCCGCTCAAACGTATCGCATACGCGTGGATTTCGCGAAACGCGTTTTCTAAATAATTCACGATATCACTAGCACCTTCCGCGAGAGGACGTATCGCGTCTCCCTAGTACTTCAAATTTTTGAAATTTTTGAGAGTTTTCCGCCCGTAATTCAATATAAGAAATTTTCACTGACCGTGTCGCTGTCGTTGACCGCGGCATCCTCGTCGGTTAACCGGTGCTCCTGCTGCTGCTGCTGCTGCTGCTGCTGCTGGTGCTGCTGCTGTTGCTGATGTTGCTGCTGGTAATGCTGTTGAAGATCCGTCGAATGATTCTGAAGCCGATGTAAATAATGATCTTCTTGTTTTTCTTCGCGTGAAACGCTTCCTCCTGTTTGTACTGAAAATGGGAAACAAAAAAATATTAACGATAAATATTTTAATTATACTCGATTTTTATGTTAGCGAATAAATTCCAACATACCGAAGGTATCTCTTACCTTGAGCAGCTTTCCTCTTCGCTTTTACAAAGCTTTTATAGAGCGTATTAATCTAGCAAAAAATATTTAATTATAAATTTATCGGAAAGAATAAATTATCTTAAAATTTAAAAATAATATTAACTTTACCTTCATAATTTTCCAGAGAATAACCCGTCCGTGTTTCGCACTGATGGAAAACTTCGATCTCTTCTTCTAAAAGTTCATCGCACATTTGCTCAAAGGCTCTTCTCCTATTTTCATTTTCTTCAGCCTCGCCATCGGCTTCTTCTTCGTCATCGTCATCATCACCTTCTTCTCCTTCTCTATCTTCTTGTTTTTCTTCAACTTCTTCTCCTTTTTCATCTACATCTTCTTCTTCATTTTCCTCCTCATTTTCTTCTTCCTCATATTCGGATTCATCCAAGTCGTTTGCTTGTACTAAAAAGAAATATCGTTGTTATTATTATTATTATTATTATCTTTTTTCAAGAATTAACTAATACGAGTTTTATAACTTTTATTATTTTAAATAATTACTCACGCGGTATGTAAATTTCGGTGTCGGCTTCGCTCACAGTCGGCTCCTCATCGATATTTTCTTCTGCATCTGAAACAAAATTAAGCTTTTATTAATTGAATTCGATATTCAGTGAGCTAATTTTGAAAGCAATATTTGCTATTTTCTTACCTGAAACTAGACCATTGGGATACCCTCCTCCTCAGGCCGCACGTCTATCCACATTCGCACTCGTCCTAAAAATTCGATATTTTAATTTAAAAATCTGAAAATTTAGAAATCTAGATTTTCAATTATATCAATTTTCTATTATTTTACTCACGTTCGTTTACTCCTTCCGCCTCGTCTTCGGCGGGACGTCTCAATCCTCGTAGTTGATACGAATGTACAACCGCGATGTTATCTCTCGCTTAAAAAATATTTAAATTTAGAATTTTTTATATCTACATATTCTAATTTCAATTACTTTAAAAATAAATATTTACCTCTTCCGGTGCACCTTGTAAAATAAGCGATATGTCCCGCCAGCATCATCCTGCCCCACACCAGCCATTGCACCGGTTATATATTCCTTTACAATATTCAAAAGTCTTTTGTCCACGAAATACCCTAATCTGAACATAATGCTCAATAGGGTTTTCGAGCACTCCGGTACGAATTTTGCAAATGTGATGTAATTTGTTTCTTCTTCATTTGTTAATAATGAAATATAAGCATTCGCGTTTATCGTCGAGTTGATATTCGCGCACACGATAAAAAAAATCTTCTTAATTTTTCACAGAGTGCCATTTTTTCACTCTTTCACTATTTTAGAATTAAGACAGCGAACGAATTGATGCAGTAATGTAAAAACCGGCTCCGAGAAAGTATAATCTCGGAAATAGACTTTTCTATAATTCCGCGCGATATTTATAATTTGAAAATCTTACCCGCACACTCCGAAAAGAGGATGGCACGCAAAAAATGCAGCGCCATTGGACAGGCCAAAATTCTCCTTAATACATGTTACACCTTTTCTATTCTCTCATAGCTAAAACATAGCTAAAAGAAAACGAGCTCCCCACTCAAGAAACATCTCTAACTCCTTTCTTTTTTATTTTGTAGTTTCTAGTTTCTTATTAAAAAATATTCTGCGAAGAAGTTTTAAAAGTCTAGAAAATCTAAAGTTTAAAAGATTTTATAATTTTACAATTTAAAATTTAAAAATTTTTAAATCTTTTAAAATTTTTAATTTAAAAATTTTTAAATTTTATAATTTTTCATTTGCTCATCTGCGCGCGCTAGTTTTTTTTCTTAGTAGATAAGTCAATGAGCTCGACGAATTCGTCAGCCCTCGGTTCATCCTTCGAGATTTTAACTTCGTAAATCCGAAGTAATCTCTCATTTCGACGCTTGTGATTATTAGTTACATTTGAGAAGAAAATAGGAACAATGGCGAACCGGAAAGCTGTTCCCGATACTGAAAAGCGTAATACTCCGGAACTGAGCAATGCCCCCGATTCCAAGAGGCGCAAGTACATCTACGATATTCCGAAGGGAAATTGTAACGAGGAAGGAAACGACAAGTTCCATATGATGCTCTCGACTCAACATCTTTCACACGAAAAGGATATACGTTGGATTACAAACGATAAATGAAGAATTTTTGTGCCAATGATTAAATTAACCGGTAATTATGCAGAAGGAATTTATTTCGACGCTAATTCCTGGCAACAATTCCTAAACAACATGGAGCTTATCGATGAGTATTTAAACGCTAACAATAAATCGAGACCGGATCCTATCATTGTCAAAAATGTTGCGATCAACTTTACCTCCTCTTATGGATCACGGTCCATATTATTGGCATATAAAGAAAATGAAGAGGCCACTATGGAAAATATCGAAATTCAACATCGAGGAACGACTACGAATTCGCAGCCACCGACGAAGAGGCGTAAGATCTATGCTATCGCAATTGTGATGCAGAAGAGTACTTTTCATGGATTGAAAAATATTGTGACGCGCACTTAAAACATTTGCAAAATGTGACCGATAATGTTAACAAATGCACGCAATATCTTATAAAAGAAAAAGAATTAAATCTTCCAAAAAGTTATATAGATAGCGATATTGTAAAACTCAGTTTGAAAAGAAATTATCACGAAATCGCGCGCAATGTACACAAATAAACAATTTAACATTTCTGGATATGTATTTCGATATAATATTTGTGGAATTAACTTCTCTGAGATTTAATGAAATTCTTCGTATTATTTTCTCAAATCGTAATTTGTAACTTTTATTTATGAATTGATATAATATGTACAACGATATAACAATAAACTTAATGATTTTGTAACTTAAATTCCAGTCTTTGCCCCCCTTATTTTCTTTTCATTCCAACCTAAAAATTAACGCGCTATGTTGCTTCGAGCTAGAAATATCTAAAAAATTTTTCAGACATTGCGTTTGTTATAGAATAAGAGTTTCATATAGCTCCGAGTTTAGAAAAACATTTAGTGCGAACCTGTTTGTTCCTGTTTTCCTATCGCATTCCAGTCTCAGGTCATCAGGTCAAATATATTCCCTTCAGACTTCCCTCATCTTTCTTGTCGCAGATATCGCTTTATCGAATCCTTAGCGGTCTCGAAACAAATTTTTAAGTTTCGCTAGCTATTAGGCGTCGAGAAACCTTTCGTCTTAAGAAAAACTCGATTTACAGCCCATATATACAAAGTAACAAATTCCCCATATACCATATACAAAGTAAATTCCTACTATCGGGACGTTCTGTGTATCATATCGCAAAAACTCTTTTTCCATTAGCACCGGGGTCGAGCATATTCCCTTCAGACGTTCGTCATCCTTCTTATCGTTGGCGCCATTTTTTCGGACTCACGAGCGGCCCCGGAACAAATTTTAATAGTTTTTCGTTAGCTATTAGGTTTGGAAAAAATCTTTCATTTTAATAAAAATATGTGATTTGTATCTCATATATACAGAGAATCAGTTTCCTTCGATCTAAGCTGTGTATCATACCATAAAATTCGCATTCCGTTCTCGCCAGGACAAGCATATTCCCTTCAGACGTTCGTCGTCCTTTTTATCGCTGGCGCCATTTTGCCGGAGTCCACGAGCGACCTCGGAGCAATGCAAAGAATCAATTTCCTTCCTTCGATCCAAGTTATAAAGTCATTCATACCATATCATACCATAAAATTCACATTCCATTCTCGTCAGTATATTCCTTCAGACACCTATCATCTTCCAAATAAGAAGGAAAGGTGTACATCACGGCGGGGCCCGACCACGAACCAGTCGTGAAAACTCGTAATTATTTTGCGAAAAACTATCATCTCAGCCAGGAATCGAACCTGAATCTCCTGCTTACCAGGCAGGCATCTTATCCTTTCGACTACCGAGGCATGTGATGATATTTATCACAAATAACGTGTTTAGAATAACACGTCAACAATACAATGATACATATACATATACATATACTATAATATATATATATATATATATATATATATATATATATATATATATATATATATATATACATGATTTTTTCGAATCCCCACGACCGGTACTCCAGAGAGATGATGGTCCTATTCGTCGTTTTATCCTAGTCGTCATTTTATCAGACCCAATCAACTCCGGAACAAATTTTTAATGATTTCACTAGCTATTAGGTTTCGAGAATTCTCTTGAGAAAAATCCGATTTATTCCCCTTATATACAAAGAATCAATTTCCTTTCTTTGCCCCATCCTGTCTACCGTACCATAAAAACCGCATTCCATTCTCCGCTAGTCAGGTATATCCCCCTTCAATATTCCGTCATCCTTCTTGTCGCCATTTTATCGCATCCCCGATCAGACCCCGAAACAAATTCTCCTCAGGTGTCCGCCATCTTTGCACACGCCATTTTGTCGGATCCCGAACGGCCTCAGACACTTTCACCCCCTCCCCTCTATCTTTTCGTCTAGCATTTCGATAACCAATCACATCCCGGGCAGCTTTGGGAGCATCCAATCACACGCCGGGCAACTATGGGAGAATCCAATCAGAACGCATCACTAATTACCTAATTATCTCCTTGCCACGCCCCTCAGCCAATCAGAACGCTCCATTTTCACGTGGAGGCCCTATCTTGACAGCTGAAGGCCACGCATCTGGCGCCAGTGGGAAAGTGGTGGGGGTTTGTTTTGACGCCCCATAGCAACCCACATACTACTAATATTTCAAAGAAATTAATTACTGCTAGTTGATGTTTGCTTGGAATGTTTTGGTTACAAAAGTAAAATTGCCGAAAATTAATAAACCTTTACAATATATAATACAATGGAAATATAGATACAATATAGATACGATAGAAGTATAATTGATAAAAATATTATATAATATTTCAAAAAAATATATTAGATTCTATGGTATTTCTCTTCATTTCAGAATACTTGTTTAAATTGTATTTAATATCATATATTTAATATATTTTCTTCTTTTATTTAATTATGTAATTGAGCTATTAATTTTAGTTTCCTTATATCTCATCTCTTGTACTAATTTTATTTCGTATTAATGTTTTTATAGAATCGTTTTCAATCGTTTTGTGTTATCAATCTTTGCAAGTAAATTACACATATTATATGACAAATAAATTTACAAGTGTGTAAATTAGTTATGGATAATGTTAATAAAAAGAGTAAATTTTCTAAACACCTCCGAAACAGATTAAATCAGTCTTTAACTATAGTCAATTCCAATTCAATCTTGATGCTTTCGAAAAGACAAACAATTATTTATAGTCTGATACACCGAATATTTGTAACAGTAACTGTAGTTACAATTCTGATACTTGTAAATTTGACAATATTTTTTATAATGATAATAACAATAATAGCAAACAATAATAGCAAAATGACATTGATATATTTATTAATTCAAGAAATTTAAATTATGATGAGAATGATCACAGCGTCAACGCATCAAATACTAATCATGCTATTATAATTGAAAATAAACATGTTTTTTGCTCTAACAATATTTTACGAGCATATAATTTTATATAATAATTTTATTGTACTCAGTTTGGTTATGTCAATATTGATTAGTCAATATTATTCTTGTTTTGAAAATTATATTTCATATGCTCATGATCTATTAAAACATTTTATTATAAATTCGCAAAAATTATATGGGTCAGCATTTATTTCATATATAATATTCATAACTTTTTGCATTTGAGTGATTATGTTAAACTATTTGGTTTACTCGATAATTTTAGCGCTTTCA